TTATGTTTTTTCTGTGAAGATCTGAATGGCTTTGTTATTTGTTGTACCATTCAGGATCTAGTATAGTACTAGTTGTATTGTTCTGGAGTGATAAATGAGTAATTTTCTATTTATTTTCATTTCTTTATTTTGACCGTAGTCTGCCGGAGCTACGTCTTCCTAAGCGTTAAACGTATAGACGATTTCAATGTAGCATGATTTCATGACCTCATTCTTACCAGGTTGGGTACCACGAAGGACTGAGAACGGCAGCACCCTTATTTGGCTTACTCGTTACAGACCGAATTGATTGAAGGAAGGAGTATTGGATTTCCGCGGTTAGGTTTTATGTTTAGCTTGTATTTGTGGCTAAAAGGATTGCTTACAAGTTTTTCCGGCTTGACTGTAATGCAGTAAAGTTCTAAGGTGAATTTACTGCTCGAAAATATGGATTGTTACCACCAGTTTTATTATTATTTTTTTTTTTCTTGTTTTAACTCAAAATGTTTTTGACGGTGTCAGTGACTTCCTCAGTTCTCAGCTTTCTATGCTTCTTTTATTCTACAAGATAAGGCTGTTGCTGTTGTGACATAGTGTTCCATTATTGCTTCTGCTTTTAAGTTGCCTAGTCTTTGAAAAGAATTTGTTTTTGCCTTTCTCTAGTTTATTATGAGGGTATTCAATATTAATGGAAAAGTGATTTTGTACAGCTGGAAAAAATGTATAGGTACTTTTTGCAAATTCTTACAAAAATGTAGTTCTCTGCTGCTGTATAAAGGAGGGTAGTCACTTTGTTGTATCTATAACTAATTCCCCCATTGAAGTCTAATTTTTATTAGGTAGTGAGCACTTGTGATTACCGTATTTATTTGGGTTTTAAATGATATCTTTAGTCGGAAACTGTAGTGAAGAAAATATGGCAATGGCTTGCTCTTCGAATGATTTGCCAATTGAAGCTGATGACGATAGTGATATGCCGGAGCTGATTGAAACTGAAGCCGTGTTGGGCCTGTCTTTGAATGAGCAGAAGAGTGATGCGGGATTGGCATCTAGTGATGCGTTTGTTCAGGTTTTTTTTGAAAATTTACTCGACGATTTCAGTCGTCCACTTCATTTTCGTTTTTTTATTATTTCTGAAATAGCAAGTTCTAGCATTATTACTTTCTGACTATCTTTAATTATTTTTTCGTTTCTTAAATTAAACCAAGGACTTACGGTCATTGTTTTTTCGATTTTTATTCGCGCATCTGAAGTGATTCTTTTCCGAGTTGGTCTTGTGTATTATTTTTTCCTTGTATTTAATCTCAAAACGCAGAATATTTCTGGCTCCGTCTTAAAAATCTTTCATATATCAAGAATTAAAGAAAAATGAAAAGTTAGAGTTTTTACTGTCAAAAAAAATGTTCCATATTTCTGGTAGTTATGTCAATCATAGGGAATTTTTAACTTATAGGAACTAAAAACTAAGAAATTTTCCTCTGTTGAGGTTGCTGATTCTTTCGCTGCGCTTTAAAAACCGTATGACTCATTTCTGAAAGCAGCCTTAATGAAGTACAAAAATCAAGCTGGGTTTAATCAAAAGCACTCGTTCTTTGGAAAACGAGTGATAGGGAATTTTGTTTAGAATGAAGCAGGAGAAAGAAAAAAAAGAAAGATTAAAAGTGTTTGGGATACTTTTTGGCACTTTATTCGTGTTACCGAGTTTGTACACATCAACCAGTGATGTGGAATAACGTTAATCAAGTACAGGTGTAGCGTGACTTTTTTACTGACCACACACATTGCAACAGTTGAAAGGAATTGCCGCTTCTCTGTATTTATTCTGCTGCCTCGAAGTCTCTCTGTTTTAATGTTTTTACTCTGCAAATTTGTACCACACGTTGTATCACAGCGGAGGGCAAAAAACCCTATCGACAATGGCGCTGAGTTGTTTAATCTATTGGTTGCTGCATCGTGTTGGGACAGACATATCGGTACTATCAAAGCCGCAGCTGGTAGAAAAAAAAGAGAGAAACAGTGATTAAAAACCTCGCAACACAGTAGCCATAATTTTTTGTTGCAACTTTTTTTTCGCATTAACTTCTAAAATTGCAACTTTTTTCGTTCGTATCTTTTCTTTTATTCTTCTTTTTTTTTTTTTTTTTTTTTTTTTTT